GAAGAAGAAGAAGAAGAAGAAGAAGAAGAAGAAGAAGAAGAAGAAGAAGAAGAAGAAGAAGAAGAAGAAGAAGAAGAAGAAGAGGCAACTAACTACGGGGAGGCTCTCACTGCATGGTATGTGCTCAAGTATGGGTGACTTCTTGTGCTGAAAGGTTTTCATTCCTCCAGATAAGAGTATAACCTCATTTTACAGATGAGAGCCAGTCACATGAGCTCACCAGCATAAAACAATACAGCATCTTCATACTGTTGCTATATCTATCATTAATGAATGATGCAGACTCACCATGAACATTGGATTTTATTTGGTTTTGGGGTTATCTATTTATTTTTGGTATTGTTTTTTGAAACAAGGTCATACATAGTTTGTATGTATCATACATACAGGTCGATACATAGTTTGGGCTGCCCTTGAACTCTCTATGTAGCACAGGCTGCCCTAGAGCTCAGATCAATCCTCCTGCCTTAGCCTCTGAAGTGCTGGATATTTTATCTATCTATCTATCTATCTATCTATCTATCTATCTATCTATCTATCTATGTATTTTTGGGAAGGGTCTACAAAGCTGTTCAGGCTCTCACTACTAGATCAGACTTGTAGTGATCTGCCTGTTTACAGCCTCCCAAGAGCTGGGATTACAGGCGCATGCCACCACACCCAGTCTCGGGGATCAAACCCATGGCCCCTGTGCCTGCTTGTAGGTACTTTAATCTGCTGAGCTATTTGGCCAGCCCCTTGGGCATTTTATTTTTGTTTTTAATTTAATTTTAGTTTTTGAGGAACCAGGGATTAAACTAAGGCCCTTGTGCTTGCCAGGGAAGCGCTTATTCCACTGAGCTATCTCCCCAGCCCTGGGCATTTTATTTTTGTTCTCATGTCTTTATGAACTATTTCAGATTAGTCTGTTATAGTAGTGTGTGCATATATAGCTTATGCTTGGTAAAACAAAAGCATTTCCAACTTTAATTCCTGCTGTATCTCATTCACTTTTGCAAAGAACCAAGACTAGGAAAAAAAAAAAAAAAAAAGAACCAAGACTAGAATTAAACAATTAGCTAGGCAATAAAAGTTTTCATTCAGTGGTTCATTTAACTACACACTTACCAGCGAGGAAGCCTGGTGATAGAGAAGCCACCTGGTGACACAGACTAAGAGCAAAATGTACCGCACAACGAAAACTATCCAATCACTACATTTCCCACAGTGAATGCAATCATATACTGCAAACATGTGCTGACAAAAAATAAAAATAGGGGCTGGTGAGATGGCTCAGTGGTCTAAAGCACCTACTTAGAACAAGCTTAGCAAAGCACAGGGACCGTGGTTCAATCCCCCAGT